GCTGCAGATCACAGTCAGCTAAAGTGGCCTGCAGTACTGCACCCTAACCGCTGCGCCACCTCGGCTCTAGCTTTTCTCCCATCAGAAGACAACACAAACTGGTAGAAAGCTGCAATGAAGAAACTGTACTTCCATCTTGCTTGGGTTCGGTTTTAGCCTGGTTAACCAGACTTCAGCAACCTTGGGACCAGAACAGGCACGGAGCTTGAAATAACTGAAATTGCTATAAAGCCTGAGGGATTTATCAACTTGACAGCCAGATTAAGCAGTGTGAAGAGCGATCAAATTGGGCTGCAGGGTGACTGGTACATCAGAGGAATACACAGCTCATCTTGACAGCCCGATTCAACGTGCAGGCCGCTAGCACCTTGTCACAAAAACAGTACCCTGGTTGTACAGGTAATCCTTACATAACAACTGATCTGTTTAGCAGACAAAGTTACAGCAGCACTGAAAAAGTAACCTTACAACTGGTTCTTACATTTTTAACCATCACAGCATACCTACAATCACATGATTGTGGTTTGTGTGCCTTATATCAAACAGGAACCTATGACTTACAGCACCTCCCAGCCACATAGTTATCCTTTGCGTGCTTCACAGCTAGATTCTAGAAAGCAAAGTCAGTGGAGAACCTGGAAGTAAAACTATATCACAATCATGTGATGGCTTGCTTTATGACTGCTTGACTTGATCCACACTGTGGCAGAAGTGAGGTAATAAATCCATTCCAGTCATGTGATGTCTTGCTTAACAACTGTTGCTTAGTGATGAAATTGCTGGTTCAAATTGTAGCTGTTGAACAAAGGTTACCTATATACAATCTCTCATAAGATAAAATGGTATTTGTTCCTTTGGGCAGTCTTGTGCTAAACAATAAGCGATGATTTGCATTCTCTACTGGTTGGATTTAAGTAGTTGAATCTAGTGAACTAATAATATGTTTTAGTACAGTGTTTCTCAACTTTGGCAACTTGAAGATGTCCGGACTTCAACTCCCAGAATGCCCCAGCCAGCGAATGCTGGCTGGGGAATTCTGGGAGTTGAAGTCCGGACATCTTCAAGTTGCCAAGGTTGAGAAACACTGATCTAGATGGAGGGGTGCGATCAGGTGGGCCACTGCTACCAAATCTGGACAGTGAGGAGGTTGGGGAGGAACATGGGCCCACATGGGAAACACGGCAGTTATGCAGATTGGGCTTTAGTCTGGAAAGATTAGTGCCAGATCCAAGGA